ACATAGAATTTTATATGGTTTAGTAAAAACTCTTTTATTGAACACAAAAGGAAGATATAGTACAATGTATTTGGACTCAAACTACTCATTCAGTTGATCAGTTGATCTTGTTTATCAAACACTATTAGTAGTTGTATGATTATATGTGATTTTATATTGAAATCCCTGTTGAGAGACGTGTGTATGTTTTTCAGAGAAGAACTCAAATGTTTTGAAGTGGAATCAGAGACTTCAAGTTGCAATTGACACTGCAAAAGGTGACAAATTAAAATATTATACTATTGATGTATCTTGCTTAATTATTAATATATTAGTTATTTTCTATCTTAAATAATAATTTGGTGGAGTTGGATGCAGGATTGGAATATCCTCATACTGGTCCATACTCCTATAATTCATAGAGACTTAAAACCGTCCAACATTTATTAAATAAATTTATGGTAGCCAAGATTGTTAATTTTGAACTATCCAGAGCCTTTACAAATGAAGGAGATTCCTCTATCAACTCAAACTGCTAGTACTACGTCGGGTTTATATCGGTCCTAAGTAAGTTGTTTCTATCATATCAATTAAAACCATTAACAATATTTGCTCAATAACTACAAAAGACAAAATACTATTTAGTTTTCAATTCATTTACAAGTACTATTTTAAAACCAATATATTATACCAACAAAATAATCTAGTTAACCTACTTTAATTGTTATCCCTTGTGTAGATTCCAATGATCTGGACAACTAAATAAGAAAAGTGATATTTATAGTTTTGAAATGATTCTTCTTCAGCTACTAATTGGCCGCCTCCAATAAAGAGATCAGGTCCCAGGAATATACTTTCATTCTTGATTGGGTTCAACCTAAAATTGAATGCGGAGATATTCAAGGCATTGTTGATCCAAGATTAGCTGGAGAATTCAATGTTACATCAACATGGAAAGCTATTGAAGTAGCAATGTCATGTGTCCTACCAACACCATCTCAAAGGCCAGAAATAAGTTATGTATTGCAAGAACTATAAAAATGTTTAGCTTTGGAGATGGATCATGCAAGAATAGATAACACTATGCCAAGCAGCAATTCACTTGATTATAGTGTGAATAATGAATCAATGACTACTCTCTTTGCTAGGTAGTCACACTCTTTCTACTAAACAATACCAAACTTAAGCTTGTACATTATCTAGTGGGATAAGGCTTGGACCTTGTGAAGAGAGGCAAGAGGAAAACCATAGAGAAACATTCATGATTGTTGAACAAAACTTCTTAATTATTATAATAGTATCATGCAATCCATGTAACCGAGTATTCAAATAAAACTTCTTATTGATGTTGTATGCTTGTATATTACACATTATATACAAAACTCTCCTCTTTGAATGATTATGGTCAAAAGATTGTCTACCCTGATTACAAGTTTTTTGAAGCCTTTTTAACACAATTTTGAGACTCATTTGAAGTAGTTAAGAGGAAGCTCGGACGACGCATGAGATTTGGCTCTGAATCATGACTCTTCGGTGCTCATGAACGAGGAAGACAGAACGACAATGGAGCATGCACAGTGCTCTGGCATGGACCTTTAGTGACGGCCTGGATTGTGGCGTTGACGGTGTTGACTTCAAAGAGATAAGGGAGAGGGAGGAAGAGATGATGATTTTTTTTTTTTTTTTTGGGAGGGGGGCTGTCAAAAGATATCTGATTGTGGGGCGGGGGGTTTAATTAATATTCATTTCCTTTTTAACCGAAAAAAAAAAACTTATTACATATGGAAGCGCTCCACTATGTCAATTGTCCTGTAGGCTATTGTTTTTATTTTATAAATTCTTTTTTTTTATATTTTTAACTGAGTTCTATGGGACTGCTTACCAGAAAGCGCTCCATTAGACTTATTATTTTTTATTTGTTTACTTTTTTTTAATCCTACAGAAATGCTTTTATTTAGCATAAGTGCTCCCATAAACTTATTAATTTATTTTAATATCTTTAGGAGTGCTTATATGAATAAACACTTCTGTATGATGTAGTTTTCGTGGCGCTGTCACTGACAAGCACTCGAAAAGGTTTTGTATTATTTTTTTGGGAACACTTTTTATTAAAGCACTCTAAAATGAATGTTCCATAAACATATTTTGTAGTAGTTAATAAAAAGCATATGACATGGGAGCGATTACAGGACCGAGAAATTCGTAAATGTAAATTCATATATTTAATCTTTTAAAATTATCGATGTTATTATTGTTTCATATTAAATATGTCCAAAAAAAATTTTCTTGCTGTAAATGCTATATAGAGAGAATCACAATACACCATGCAAACCCATATCAATCAAATATCAATGATCAGTGTGGAGCCACACTTGCTCGAGGGGTGCATTATTTGGGGGAAATTATAAGTGGGGTGTGTAAATTTTTCACTACTCACTCTTAATACTTCGCACCTTTTAAATTAAATAAAAAACATTTGGATTCAAAAACTCAATAAATATGTAATATTTTAATAATCTAAATAAGATATAAAAAGTATATGTACAATAATAGACCATATCAACCTATTTAATATAATTTTGAAAATGAAAAATGATCAATCTATTAATGTAACTACAATTTTAGTTTTAGGACAATTATTATTTTAAAAATTATTAAATTAATTTGCACCCTTGGCTCCAGTACTCCACCATTGTCAGGGATGAGAACTCAAACAGAAATTCATAAAAGGTTTCCCGCGTTTCGAATACATACGTACATATTTTCACTTAACAAATAGTCCATGGAGTCCCAAATTTGACCTCAAAAATAATAATCATGCATAATTTTATATTCCTAGTGTTTTATTAATTTATAATAGCAAAAACATAATATTTGATCTCTATAATTTTATTGAATTTTACTTTTAGTCTCTGTAGTTTTTTTTTCAGTGTTTTTAGTCTTTACAAGAACTAAAACCACTGAAAAAATAAAAATTATAAGGACCTAAAAAACAAAGGTCATTCAATTTTTTTGAAATCATAGAAACTAAAAACACTAAAAAGGAACTAAAAACAAAACCTGATAAAACTATAAGGATCAAAAATTATGCTTTCTCTTTATAATATTATAATGTGTGTGTAACTAGTTTTTTTTTTTTTTGGCTATGCATATAATAAATAATAATGCAAAAGATGTACCGAACTCTAATCCTCCTAGATTTTGCATCAAGGTAGATGATACTGTAGGGCCTAAAGCATTTGTGTTGATCTTAGATTTCATTGGATCTATATATGTACTGTTTGTCTTCATGAGTTTGTGTTGATCTTTAGGAATGTGTTTTTGTAGCTTATTTTGTGGAGATTTTCTTATGCTTCATGGTTCATAAATTCATTAATCTTGTAGTTAATTGGAAGCTTATCTGGAACAAATTTAGAAAGCTCATTGATGAATGATGAGAAAGGACTTGGTAACGAATTTAGGCCAACTCATTGAATACAAATATAGAAGTATTTAAATTAGCTCTCCAAGTACCTGTCGCATGATATGGTGTGTATGTGTGTGATTTTGTGCTTTGATTTAATACAAAATTATAATTAATCATTTTATATTTTAAATAATAAAATAGAATGGTTTCTTTGTAAACTTTTTTTAAAAAAGGAGAAAACCACTCTCAAGTCTCACACAAAATAAAAAAATAATTCAAAATAGTCTTATAAAATTATTTTGAAGTCTCATGCTTTTCACTGAAGTTGCTAATCAGTGCTGGATATCATTAATGCTTAGTAATCAACGGCACAGCTCCATTAACAATTTCCAATTATTGATTGACAACTTTAATATAATAAATTAATATTTTTTATAAATGACATGAGACTTCGAGTTCAAAGTAATTTTATAACTTGTCAAGTCAATCAAATTGACTCGTGAGTTTGGCAATGATATTTTAAAATAATTTTATTAATTTATGATACTTCTTATATTTAAATTCTTATGTAAGATTTAAGAATGACTTTTAAAAAATTATACTTCAAAGCATATACTTTAGTTCGATTTCTAACCTTATTAAGAATATTCTATTAGAGTCTCACTCTCATCCTTTTACTTTCTACTTAACATTAGGCTTTAAAATCTTTTAAAAAAAACATGGCTTTGCAATAACATGCAAATTCAGATTCTCTAAATTTATTTTTGTCATAGTGTCTCAATTTTAAGCTTTGATTGTTAAATCAATATCCAGGACATTAACAAATTTATTAAATAAAACTCAGTTTTGGATAATATTTTTTTCCCCAGTGATCAAGCTGGACTTTGAATTCTCTTACTCATAGCATACCAACATTCTTTTTCTCATATTATTATTATTATTACTGCAACGCATGCTTCTTTTTTAATGTAGCTATCTAACTAAGCCAGATTTATATTAAAGCCCAAAAAAAAAATTAAAATTAGCATTATATTAAGAACTAGAGAGAGTATATAATATTAACCATTTTTCTTTTGTTTTTTTTTTAAGTAGACGGAAAAAGTGTTGGAATATTTATTTATAAATTTACATTACTTAATAAGCCCAAACAGATTAATCTTTATGATCTTGTGTGGACTGTGATTAGTTATTCCCTATCTTTTAATTGATTGAATTAAAGATAATGGAATATATTTTATTTATTTATTTATTATAGCGATTACTGATCTGATCCATATAAACCGATCATTTAATAACTACAAACACACGATAGTTTTCACTTACTCCATTATCTCAAAACTCTCTGCAAATTATGGGGGTTTTGTGGATTGTGCATCTGTCTATACTCGAGATAATTAAGGTATCTCAAGCGCTCATAAATTCTTTAGGTTCGTACAAATTATTCTACTCATTCTTATTTAATATATGAACTGAGATATAAAGTTATCAAAAAGTGTTCATAATTCCCTTTCAAATCACCCAAACGCCATTCCTCCAACATTTTATGTCACTGTAAATCAATTCACACACATTGCACGACGTACCTACTCTCCAATATAACTTGTAGCTCAAAATGTAATGTAAACTAGCATATTCTATTAGCATCGAAAAATCAGACATCAATAACAAATAGCATTCGAGGATGACTAATAAAAAAGGCATGAACTCACATGATGGTGGAACAGCACACAGGATATTAGCTTTCTTTTTTCTCAATTATCACCTCCTTTGACTTGGTTACCAACGTTCAACATGCAGAGGGAAAATGGAAGTTTCTGGTTTGGCTATCCACATTCAGCATGCAGAGGGAAGATGGAAAGCAGATAGGAAAAGGTAACTATAAGGCTAATCATCTCCGTACAGGCGGTACTACGCCCCTACCAGGAGCTGCTCCGCGGCCTGCAGCTTGAGCCTGCACAAACAACATCTATATGATCAATCATCAATATATATACTCCCCTGGTTCTATTGTTAGTCACATTCTAAAAATTCTTCTCAGTCCTTTATGTAAGTCATTCTCCCTTGTTTTTTGTAATCTTTGATGCCCAATTCTGAAAATACCCTCCTGCAAATTCTTAAAAAAAAGTGTAATATTTCAATTCCAAAGAAAATTCTTCTCGCAAATTCTTCTAAAAAGAAAGGTAAGACAATTTATTACTTCAACTATCTTGCCTTGATTTTGATGAGTTAGTTAAAAATGACTTATATAAAGGATGGGGGATAGTATATATCATCATGGAATAAATTAAGAATAATGTGACTCATTCTTTACACTTTGTGTAACGCATAGAAAAACATGTCGAGTTTGGAATTAAAACACATCTATCATGGATACGGCCAAAAGGAAAGCCTAAGAATGCAAGTGTAAATACCTTTGCTCGCATTGCAACTGCTCTGCCCCTACCAACTCCAAGTGATGCACCCTTGCCCTGCACGAGATTCAAGAAGCAAAAATCACACTCTAACATATATACAACATGAGTCTTTTATCCCTAAAAGATATCAAAGTTACCTTAATTCTAGCATCCAAACGCTTAAACATAGGAGCATTCTTCAGCATGTCTGGTATGACCATAAACCTGTCAAAATGCCCAAGCCACAGCAATTCAGAGCACTTGCAATTCCCATACAGAAATGTAAAATCTTCTTTAGAATACAAATTTTATCCAATCAAGCACCGAAGGTATAGTTCATACCTGACTTTGCTTCCTCGAATGAATACATGTTCAAGTTGGGATGTTTTTCCATCCTGAGGAATGTGTGGCAATCATCAACAATAAAATGAAGTTCAGTGTACATTTAAATTAAACAAATTAATAATTAATATTAATAAACATGATTAAAAGTTGAAATTGGTGACAAGGAACCACTATACAAATTTTCAAATTCAATTGCACTTTCTTAGGCCCCTCCTATTTTCGGTATGAGTACATGCTCAATGGTATAAACAAAACTGGAAAGGCTGCAAGGATACAAAACTGAGGTTGACACTAGGCATGTTCCAAATTAGTACATGTCTGTGCAAAGTCTGAGATAATGTCAGCACAGGAGATCTTTGGTTTGTTTGTCTTTACTCTTTAGAAGACGTCAGCCTCCTAGCGTCCATTTGGCTTTATTGTTTTATTTAGAGGAGCAGGGGAAGAAATAGCATACGGCCTAACAATGTCCTCTGACCTTCATTTTAAATACTAATTATGAAATTGAAATTAGGAACTGGCACATTTCTTAAGCTAAAAATTGTCCAAGATAAACTGTCTAAATTCTAAACCAAAAATGGCAGGTATTGGTTATTGGACACCATGGACTCTATCTTAGAAAATTCACCATGTAGTATGCATGTAATGATATATTTCGAAATTCCAATATATGAAAAAAAAAATTATGCTGAGAAATATTTAAAATCATGTTTACTCCTGTACTAACTAATAATTAACTATCAACACAAACACTCATAGCATATTTATTTGGTTCATTGCCTCCATTCAATTTAAACCCGACTAAATGAAACTAACGTGTCCTGCTCATTAGCTTTCCAACTTCCGCATATGCTCATATTTAACTTAGTGCAACTAAAGACAGCAAAATTCATAGCCAAAATTTCATACAACTTGGATTTTGCTTCTAGCCATGTCCCAGAAAAGGGAAGTGGAAATGCCCGACAAATTACCATGTCGATGATCAACCTTTTAACAGCTTAAATCTTCGTTCTTTTCAGTTGAACCATGTTTATTATAGTCTACTCTGGATTAAATCTAGCCTTCAAGATAATAACATTAACTTGTCTGATAAAAAACCAGCAGGGGATTGGATCGAAATCACATAATTTGAATTATCTTGTACAGCGAAGATATCTCTTCAAAATGCATTGAGTAAACTTTCAAATTTGCTGCCACAGAGTATGGTAGCTCACAGCCATACAGAAGGAACCAAATGACTAGTGATCCCTCAATTACTTCCTATCTTTCCTTCCTAATCCCTCTTTCTGAGGTAACGTATATGTGTTTTTCTTCATAGATGGCGTCTCATATGGTTCAGAAAACTCGACATCAAATTTACTACTAAGGTCAAAATTAACTGATCAGAAATCCAAGCTCTACGCAATTAAAACAAAACCCAAAACCCAAACATACATGAATGACATTGCGGTGACAAGTAATTAAATGCAGAAGTAGAATTACACACTAGTGCGAACGAGAAGTACCTTGGCAGTGTAGGTAATGTTCTCGAGTTGGCAATTCCAGTTGTCTTCACACTCGATCATACTTCCTCTGTAGAGTTCTCCGCTCTTGAGCTCCACGGTGACTACATGACCAGTCGCTTCGTGAAGTAGCTTCACTGGTATTCCCAAGCTCCTGCTCATGGCTTCCCTCTTCACAACTCTGCGCAAAACCCTAATCAACTGAGGAAACTCGCCTTCAGCTTCGCTGCAATACAGCTTCTCTTCGCTCCAATGGATTATTATTAAATTATTAAGTAAACTCTAAAATAAATAAATTTATACTAATTACATTCCATAGCTTTTTAAAAAAAATAAATATTAATTTAAGTTAATTTAAATAGCTATAAGTTTTAAATATAACTCATAATTTAAAATTTGATTTGCATTTGTAACTGTCAACTCATTTGTTTTAAAAATTTTGTTTGGACTTAGCTGTTATTGTTAATTTAATTTTTGAAATTTTATTATTATTCTCTCTTTTAAAAATCACAGGGCCTCTAAAATTTTAAATTTTTATTTTTAAATTTTATTTTTATATTTCAGTTTTTCTCAATATAAATAAATAAATAAATTAAATAAAAGGTCAAAAATAAATAATAGGCTGACATGATGGAACTGGGAGGCTTTCAATTAGATTAATATGTCTGGCAAAAAAAAATTAAATTAATTTGATTGATTAGACAAATAATTAGGAAAAGGGATTTTTAATAAGTTAGGCTTGGTACAAAATTAATGAAAAAATTCCAGAAAAAACAAAAATACATTGAAAATATAATATTAATATCAGCTACAATGTTATAATTTTAAAAATTTTAAAAATAATATAAAGTGATGTTAAAATAGTGTTTTTAAAAGTTTATAATATTGAGAATTAGAAGAAAAAAGAATAAGATAATTTGAACAACAAACCATTTCGTTTTTGTTCTGGCTTTAGATAACCACAAAAAATTTTAAATTTAATTAAACATTCGTAAATTGGCTTGCGTGATAAAGAATTCATGAATCAATATCATTGTCAATCATCAATTCTTACACTCTAATGTGAGGAGTTGACATACTACACTATCAATGAAAGAGAAATTGCAACAAAAAATATGTTTATTTGAAATCAGTAATATCAAATCAAATACTAACAAGTACGTAGTTAAATTAATAAGAAGTTGTACTATCTTAATTAATAATATTAAGTTTAAGTATTGTATATATAATCGTGCTATATGCCTTGGTGAATAATTGATAATTGCAAAATAAAAAAAATTATCAAATCAAGAGTAAAGTCAGGATTTAAAAATAATGAAGGTTAATATTAAAAAACAGATATATTATAATTTTTTTTATAAATTTTAAGAAGATTGAAAATATATAATACCGAAATAATATATAAAAATTTTAAAAAATTAGAGAGGTCACAGCCCCTGCTGATTCCCTCCCTCCGCCACTAGGGGAGAGCATCAGTTAATTCGGTTTGGTTGTGATTAAAGAAAACCGACGAACTGAAATGTAACATTTTTTTGAACCAAACTGAATTTTAATGGTTCGGTTCGGTTATTTATTTCGGTTATTGGGCCTTTTTGTCAACATACTGGGCCTTTGTTTGTCAACAAATTAGGCTTGTCTCCAAAAAAGAACATCATACTAATTAAGAAATAATTTAAAAACACCAGATGTCCCTAACTAAAGTAGAGAAAAAATGATCTGAACTGGTCTAGTAGACTCTATAAAATCTTAATTCTTGAAACCTCAAACAATTATAAAATTAACATGACGAATATAAATAGTGAGGAAAACAAAAGGGATCCCCAAAAACAATAACGTGGACACTGGACAACATAGAAAAGCATATCAAAATAAAGAAATCAAATATAATACTAGTATTTCTAAAAAATATTAATAAAAATAAAAACAATCCTTAATAATATAAATCAATTATAATATTTATAAATATATATAATTAATTTTGATTAATTTGGTTTATTCGATTTTGCAATCTTCAAACCGAACCGAACCATTTAAACTAAAATTTTTCTAAGAAAAAACCGAACCGACCATTTAAACCGAATAAACCAAACCAAATAGATCAAACTCAATTTGGTTCAATTCGGTTTTTGGTTTCGGTTTCGGTTCAGTTTTGCTCACCCCTATCCGCCACTACATCAAATCAAATACTATATAATTAAGTATAAAAAATACATCAACATCATCTTATCTTTATTTTATTTTTTTGGCCAAATTACACTTATTTTATTTTTACTCCTTATCAAAAGTCAACACCAAATTTTGGTGGATGATATCAAAAAAAAAAAATTATAACCAATTCCCTCTTAAAAAAAATTAATCACTAATAAAAATTAATAATAAATTTTATTTAAAAAAATAAGTCATATTTTAATAATAATTTATTTTATATTAATTTTTATCGGTGATTAATTCTTTTAAAGGAAGGCTGATTCTCTCCGAAAAAAAAAAAAAAAACTTTGTGGTTCAATAAAATTCGAATTATCAAAAATAGATATATAAGTAATAAATAAATGAAATGAACCTCTGCTTCATCTTCCCCACTTATCTGGATTTTGCCATTCCGCATTCGCAGTCCGAATCCGTCTTTCCCAATCGGTTAAAGCCATTCTCACACACTATCATTCATATTCCTCCATTTCAAGCAAAGCTGAAACAAAATCTCCATAAGCTCCTTGCTTCATCATCGTTTTCTGTTCAGCGTCTGACAATTTCAATCTCGATTGTTCAAAATCCCCATTTTCTTTTCTGGGTCTGCGATGTTTGGCTCGCTTGTCTTCATGATGGTGCTTGTTTTCATTCGAGGTTAGTTCTCAGCTTTTCTTTCTTACGTTTTTCTGTACCATTTTATGTGGACAATTACGGAGATAGTAGACTGCAACTGAGTAATATCGTAAATGAAGTTCATCTGCTGAAAACTCAAACCAGAAAGTATACACTCTTTGGGGTGGTGTCATAGTGCAGACCCACTTTCCTTCTTTTAGCCCTATGTAGTATGTTCCTTTATTTTTAGCTTAGAGAATTAAATCAATTGCGCAAAGTTGATTATTTTGGATGCAAGAAAAATACCCATTTTAGTTGTGAATTAATTAATTTTGAGCTTTTCAGGCTTTGATACGATCAGTGCCCTGTAATTGCTGTGTTTGACACACTGGACCTTCTTGATAAGATGGGAGTTTTTTAGATACTCATTTTTATTGTATATCTCTTGTGTTGCAAGTAAAACCTGCAAGCTTGTGTTATTTTGATTGAACCCCTTATTGCCATTTATCTTATTGGGATGTCTGTTGAGAGTTTAGCTCACAAACGCTCTGTTCCAATCAAATATTGTTTGCTAAATTGTTCCACGAATATTATTGATATTTGAATTGAAATGTTGCATTTCAGTGAGTTATACAATTTGAGGTTAGTTGGGTTCTCTACTGGTACTGAAAAGATCACACTAGTTAGTAACAAAGTTTTCTGATAGAGCTATTTGTATTGGTGATTTGATCAACCTGCTGTGTAATTCTTGATGATGCAGTACATAAAAACGCATGGACAAAGTTTGTTTTCTTTTCAAATGTATCAAATGATACTAAACAGAACTCAGTTGACGTTAATCTGGAACTAGAGAGAAAGAAAGAGGGTGAGATGGAGAGGAATGTAAGTGAGAATTTTAAGAGGCTTATCTTGAGTCAAAGTAACGCTATAAATGAATTTGCTTCATGATTGTGACAAATTCGGACACTGCTATTTTGACATGGTATTACCAACTTTTAGAACATGTAACCCTGCGCGTTAATCCTGAAAACTGCTTTTTGCAATATCGAAGTGCCTAAGCTAAGCATCTTTAAGATATATCCTGACAAGTCATGTGATATTAACATCATAACTTGTCAATTCATTAGCTTCATCAAGCCTTTTGCAACTGTGAGAGGCTCTAATCAATTGGAGGGAGGGACCGCCAGACCCAGACCTGACTTCTCAGATCTTTGAAGGAAGAAAAGCTCAACAAACGGTATAGATTTGTTCTCCAGGAGGATATCAGGGGAGCCGGTTAACTCAGGATAAGTTCAGCAAGTTTCTATAGAAAAAATGGCTGCTGAAGATAAAAACCTTGTAGAAATATTGGAAGACCTTAATCCCATAGATGTTGCTAAATATATGAACTATGTCAGTGCCCCACAAGCTGGAGCTATAGCTACTTTTTCAGGAACAACACGCGATACGTTTGAAGGCAAAACAGTGTTGGAGTTGAGGTATGAAGCGTATGTACCAATGGCAGTACGATGTTTGAAGTCTCTTTGTTCCTCTGCTAGAGCATCCTGGAATCTGCATTCCATTGCTGTTGCTCATCGTCTAGGCACAGTTCCTGTGGGTGAAACAAGTGTGTTTGTTGCAGTTTCTGCCGTCCACAGAGCTGATGCAATGGAAGCTTGTAGGTTTCTCATAGATGAGCTAAAGGCAACAGTTCCTATTTGGAAGAAGGAGGTTTACACTAATGGTGAGGTTTGGAAGGAGAACTGTGAGTTCATGGATAGAAGGTCTGAGCTTGGTAAAAATGACGAAGATTTTCATGGGAAAGTGAAAGAAATGAAGGAGCATAACAGGAAGCCTTGTTGCAGGCCTAAGGTTCTGGTGAAGGATGAAGGTAACTGAAGATTAATGACAGTATCTGGGGATCAAAGATATGCTTGAGAAACATGTTCTGTTTATTTTTATTTTTTTAATATTCAAATAATACGAGAGGGATGATTGTACTTCTGTACTTTGTTCCTTCTGTTTGCATTGCTATGTTAGCATCAACTTTCTCTGTTTTTAAATACAATACGAAGCAAAAAGCCTAGAGAAAGAAACAAGGTCAACCCTGATCCGTGGGTTCATTGATAAGATCATACTCCATAATAGCTAAACATTTTATGGGAAGTTCTACAAGAAGTTAAAAACACCTATTTGATGGTTAGAAAAGGCGTATTATGTGCAAGCCGATTAGTACAACTGTACAAGTATTAACTTCCTTGAATACAAGGCCATAGAAGTCACACGTAATCATTTTTCTTATATCTTTTGCAACCCCATAGGTGAGGTTTCATCTCTAATGAACCTTCTGAATATTTTCAATCGCTCCCATTGAATTTAAGACATCCCAGTCTTGAGTACTTAGGCAGTCTAATGAATTGAATGGGATGGATTTTTTTTTTTTACGAAAAAATAAAGTCATAGTAATTAATAATTTTGCAGATGTATACACTTCCATTCATGTAACCATGCCACTCTTGACAAAATAGTATTTTCTCATTCTTAAATTATAAAACACTTTTAGATAAAATTTTACATATTAATAAACCTTATTAAATACACTTAACAATCTTATCTTTTCAAATAAAAATATAAACTTTTAAAAATACCCATCATTTAATATATTGAAAAGAAAAGGGGTGAAAATTAATTATAGAGAGAGAGTGTGTAAAATTTGAAGCATTTAATGAAACATTAATTCACTTAAAGTGTTTTATATTTTGAGACAGAGAAATCTTTTCAAAAGTATCTTATAATTTATAACGGAAGGAATACATGTACTTTTTGTTAAAAAAACTCAGTAGAGGGGCATTTAAAATAAATAAATAAATAAATAAAGTGCATTGATAATCTAAGAATAACATGGTATTATATTTTGTATGGTATATTAAACAGGCAAGAATTCTCTCCTACTCCTTTCCTATCCTCTTCTCTTCTTTTTCTTTTGTTTAACCATTAGATCATGACTTAAATGGTTTAGATTTTATTTTTTTATAAAATTATTATTAAAATTTTAAATTAGAAAAAAATATATGAATAATAAAATTCAAACTGTTAAAATTTAGCATAAACAATTAAAAAATATAGCAAAAACAAAACAAAACATAATATTTTATAAAACATCAAATCTAAATCATCCAAATTTTGATTTAGTAGTTAAAATTAGGAAGAGGAGGGGAAAAGGATGGGAAGGGAAGAGAGGGGATCCTCTCCCATATTAAACATGATATAATTTAATGGTGAATGGGGGGAAAAAGACTCCACAAATAAAAAGTTCCTTATGACTGTGAATAAAAAAATAATAGAAAATTACATTACGGTGCATTCATTGTGTATGAACGGGATTTTGAAACATCCATATTTTTTAATTTCCATTTACACTATAACGCGGGACTGAATTCTCATGCTTTATACAAAATCTGACATCAAACATAATGTTTATAATTTATTAATAGTGCAATTTTTATAAAATTTATATTCACACATTCTTTTTTCCCCTTTCGACCTCTCTTACAGCACTACATCCAGTAAATTTTTTGTCGTTGACTAAGGCTAGTATCCTCCATCAGTAATAAATACTTAGCTGCTCGTAAGTATTTAAGTCAAGAGAAAATGATAATTAAGCCTTAATTTAAATTAAGTCTTAATTAATTTTAGAATGCTACCAAAGTTCCTTAGTCCTTTAGTAATAATAAGCCTAATAGGGATTTGCAATCTTGGCACCTAATTTTGCAATTTATCGTAATATATTTACAACTTATTTTTTAAATTTTAATAAAGAATATAGATGTTCATCTTTAATGTTGAGAAATATTAAGTTAATAGTTTCAAAAATTTGCAAGTTCTTTGGCTCCTTATTTTACAAATTTATTGTGATACATTTACAATTTGTTTTCTTCATTTTAACAAAGAATACAAATTTGCATCTTTGATATTGAAAAGTATTAAATCTAATAGCTCTAGAGATGTGCAAATTGAATTTTCAATTTTATAACTTTATTGTGATGAATTTATAATTTATTTTTTAAATTTTAATAAAAAACACAAACATTCAAAATTTGAAGTTGAAAAATATTAAATTTGTTACTTACTCTTTGCCTATTGCCTATTTATCAATAAAATAAATAGATCTTCCATTTCTCAATTGTCTATTATTTATTCTTCAATCCTATTAAAATTTGAAAAGTAAGTTGTAAATACATCATAATAAAGTTTTAAAATTAAGAGTTGAACTTTTAAAATTTTAGAGATGTGAGACTTGTTACAACAAAGTTGTTAATGATTTAGTTCTCTTCAGTGCTACTGCTCCCCAACAGGTTAACACCATCAAATGTGTCATGAATAACTTCTGCCAAGCTTCCGAGCATCGAGTCAGCCGAGCAAAAACAAACGTCTTCCTTTCTTGGAATGTTCCTACCAGGGATATAGCTTTATTATGTACTAGCTTAGGTTTCCAACACACTAATAATCTAGGTAAATACTTGGGAGTTCCTTTATTACATGGCAAAGTCACGAAGGACACTTGAAAGTTATTCAGAGGAAAAGATTCAGAGGAAATTGTCTGGATGGAAAGCCAAATCTTTGTCCCTCGCTAGTCCCATTACCCTCACTCAATCTATCCTCTCAGCTATTCCCATGTATGCAATGCAGTCAATCCAAGATCCCCTGCTCAACCTACTCTAGAATTGCCACTTTAATAATGAACTTTATTTGGGGTACTACCACAAAGCAAAGGACGATTCACCTTGTCAATTGGGAAATACTTTGTCAGCCAAAGGAAAATTGAGGTTGCGAGCTAAAGGATCTTGAAACTCTCAATGATGCTTTTCTTATAAAACTTGCATTCTCCATTGCCTCTCAACTGAATCTTTTTTGGATCAAAGTAATTAGAGCAAAGTATAAATAGAAAGACCAGGCAACAATCAAGAAAAGAAAAAGATCCTACTCTTATCTTTGGCAAAGTCTAACCAACATTTGGGATGACGGTGATCTAGGCTTGAAATGGGTCCCTTCTGCCGTGAATGACATTAAGTTTTGGAAAGATTATTGAGTTGGAGATCTAGGGCCACTACACCACCTTGCATTTAGACCTTTATCACCTGCTGATTTGGACAAGCCTATCTTAGACCACTTGAGACAAGATGGATCCTGGAACTGGAATTCATTCCAACATCTCCTCCTGCAGGAGATTCTTCAAGAAATTAATACCATGAACCCCATCCATAATGATCCTAATAAACTGCTATTAGAACCTCATCAGCTTTAGAACTTGCACTGTCTCCTCTACATACTAGCTTTTAGCTTCTGATCAATGGGATGAAGAGAATGTTTTATGGAACTTTGATTGGAACTGGAAGGAAACCCAACAATTTCGTACCTTTTTATGGCTAGCTTTGAGGAACAGATTACTCACCAATGGGGAAAGGCACAGGAGACATATGACCCAAGATACCTCTTGCGAACTATGTAATAGACCCATTGAAGATCATGGCCATGTTCTTTGCAGATGCCCCTTTGCATTAGATTTTTGGAATCTCATTGTCCATGACCATGAACTCCCTAGGTTTATTGCCATACAAACGCATGACTGGCTGATCCACAACCTTCATCCCTGCAACACCTCCTTGGCATGGCGCAGAACTTTTGGACTTATGTATTGGAAGATTTGGCATGCAAGAAATCAACACTTCTTTAACAACGAACACTTTAATCCAGTCAACCTAATCAATGAAGTCATTAGCCCTGCTAATCACACTATCAACACCAAGGATTTCATTGTATTTCCCACTGCCACTTAACTGCATGTGTTTTTGGCATTCTAATGTATTTTGATCTCACTTAAATCTGTTATTTGTAAACTAGATTCCTTTTTGTACATTCCTTTGAGTAATTGAATCCTTTTTCACTCCAAAAAAAAAAAAAAACTCAAATGATCAAAGAACTTTGCTAGCACTCTAAAATTAATTAGAACTTAATTTAAATTAATTGATCTCTTTAGGGCTTAAATGTCATTCTCCCTTCAGTTAAAAGGATAAGCCCTCCTTATTAGGTTTATTTCATACAAAAGTTATAAATCAATCATTTACTTGAAAGATCTGAATTATGATAGCAATTTTTTTCCCTACAAAGGAAGTGGACTCGAGAATGCAGAGAGGAGTTACAAATACAAAAAAACCTGTCATTTCTTCAACTAGCTGCGATGTGGTGTCAAGAACGTATTGGTCAAAATTAATCGACTGTTTTCAGTGGAATTTTACATACCTCACCATTGTTTTGCTAATGAATTGTAAATAGTTCAATAGGCATCCTATGCTAGAACAAAATTGGATAATATCTTGCTACAATCTAGACAAGAACACAGCATTAGTTAAATTAAAATCCTCACGGAAGATTTAATGGCTCGAAACTCTTGTTCTGTAACATTCTTCATAATCCCATCTATCAGTAGGCATCCCTTAGCTTCCATTGTTAATTTAGAAACTTGTCCTGTCTCTTTCTTCTTCTTAACAGTTGAATCATCAAGCAGTGTAAGGTCCAAAGTGGCATCTCTCTTGACACCATGTTTGCTTGGTTTCTGATTCTGAGTCTCCTTCCTATCCAATTCATGAATCTCTTTTCTATCATCAATATGATCAAGCGAAGGAAGATAGCCAGATGACCCTGCAGTGCGGGGCAACATGCCAATCGGGCATGGGTTCCATTCTTTTGCCAAAGTCCATGTCCGAGGCCCGTTGGTGTCGCAATCCGTCAATGATGTTGTTTTACTCTTTGTCACTCGTTGTTTGAACAACTCAAGCTTTCTAGCAGCTCGGCTTATGTATTCCTCCATCTGAAGGAAATTCACTGAAGAAATGGGCAAAGAGCTTTCATCACTGCTTTTGACTGAATTGGACAGAATGACATGAGAGAGCCTTTTAACTTTCTCCATTAAAGAGCTATCATCCATCAATTTTGCAAGGAGAAGGGCTGAATCCACTAGCTGCTTATTGCTTGGAGCTGATATTCGAAGACATTTTCGTACAAGTTCAAGCAAAACATTTTTTGGTACATTTGCTTTAGCAGATAGTACTTCATATAGAATCCCAGCAAGCCATGCAAACAAAGATGCAAGACGATCAATCTGGCAAAATCTTTCCCTACGTGAAGTCCCTAGACATTTCATTTCTGCACAGACGAGAGAAACAAATCAGTGAAGATAAAACTACCTCAACCTTAATCAATAATTAATATTAGGAACAGTTCTATATTAATGCAGAAGATAAACCATATGACTGTGCATGCAACTTTACAATCATTAGGAGCTCTACTATAATTGACCGTACAATCTCACACAAGAAGATGCCTAAACATATAATAACAGTTCAGAAGTGAAAAAATCTGTACCCGTAAAAGTGGCTGAAAGTGAAAAATTACGCTACGCCCATACTGAGCATAACCAAAACATTGTATCTCAAATCAACTCTGATGAACAAGCAAAGGGATCCACAGCTTGAAGCTTATAATAAATTGTGATAAAAGAACATTATAAATTTGACACTATAATGACATAACTCGCCTTGACAATTGACATGCAAAAACTGTGGATCAGAGTAATTGCAAGTATAGAAAGACGAAGGCTATCATCATCTTCGTAAACAAATTCATAATCCAATATGAAACAATTTAAGAATTTCAAAAATTGTTTCTAATAAAAAATGTATCAGATGTCAAAATTTAGGTGCACCCTAAGTATACTGAGAATGAAAGCAAATCCAAGTACCACACAATAATTAATCAATAGATACTGGATGCCACCAAAAAACAAATTGAAAATTGCTGACATGCAAAGCAAGAAGCAATCTACCTTCTTCATATTTCATTGCTTCCTGGGTCTCAATCATAATGAGTACTTCCTTAAAAAGGTTCAGTAGTAACTCTGGCTCCTTATCACAAAATCTGAGTATGACAACCTTCCAATCAGGCAAAATAATATTTATGGTTGGACATGAAACTTGCTCCGTATGCTCTACTAATTCTGAAGAACTCAAGGCTTCCAACAAATACTCCAACAACACACCTACAATCTCTGAGGAGTAGGAAGAATATAACTGAACAAGAGATTTCGATATCTTAGAAACTTGTTTCTTAGAACCTGAAAATAAAAGGATACCACTGCTTAATTCACTTCAGGTTCAGCAGAACTGAGATGAAGTACCATAACAAATTCCAGCCACAATCATTTATTTTGAAGAATAAAATAGGAATATCAATATATCAATATCAACACGTGTAATAAAATCTTTATCAAGTCACATTTTTCAAAAGCCCTGAACAGTGATACACATCCTCAAACTCCTGGCATTGCACAATACAACATGCCTAGTTAGTTATGATAACAAGTTAACTACTTTCTTATTTGGATTCTGAATTAAACAAGAATCAATGTATGAGATATTTAGATAAAGAATTAAAGTAGTGAGGATGGCCATTATCTGAAATTACCAAGTAGCTTCACCTTGTACTTGTGATTCCAATATTTTGGATGACAACTAAAAGTTATCAAAGAAAGTAAATGCATTTATCTTATTGATAATAAAATGCCACTTCCAGATTTTGATATTTGACACTTGCCAGTGATAAGAGTCAAAAGATTATTACAGTCACAACATAATTCATCATGTTTGAAGCTGTTACAGCGAAGATCCAGGTCAGAATAGTGGATGAACCCGGGGGACCAGACCAACAGTTTTACGAGACTTTGAATGTTGGACAAGAATCTGAATGTTGTTAGAATTAAAATCTCATTTAAATGCAGACACTTCCGGCATATTTCTAATGCATGTTACAAATGTCAAAAAGATCTTGAACAATTTTAAGTTCAATTTAACAGAGAAACAGAAGCACGTGCATTAAATGGGCCATACTTATCTCTAATTGTTCCAATTAGTGCCACATATATCATCCCTAACTGTGCCCCATAAAACAAGCATTAAATTTTGGATTATGCATTTACAGTCTGCATGTCTCTAATGTATAGATGATGTAAGGTGGAAGAATTCCTGCAAGCCTTTGAATCAAGAGAGCAATAAGCTGACCAGCATTATGATCTTGATTGAACAAATAAACAATCCATACTTTCTATTTGACTGAAAAACATCATTTTAAAGACAAATGCAGTATGATGCAAAGTATCATAAGGATATAGTACATCCACTTGTACATTATTGCATGCCGAATGGAATTCATCCATGCATTCACAATGATACATGGATTTGTTCAATCCATGTAGCTGACCCCACTTAGTGGGATAAGGCTTGTTATTGTTGTTGTTGTTCAGTTATACATGGTTTTCTTCTTAATCTAAAGGAGACCAAATAAGGAGAAAAGAAGACAATGATATTTAACAAGTGCTTAAAGAAGAGGTTGCTGACAGGGGGGGAAAAATACATGAATCCAATATTAAAAGAATGGAATAAAATTTGGAAAAATAAGAAGGAAGTAGATCATAATTGTTGCTTGTTTCTATTTTTCAATATTTCATTCAAATAACTTCCATCCTCCTTGATTTGCAACAAAAGAAAGAAGTGGGGTCATGATTTTAGGGCAATGGATGGGAGCTGGCAGAAGCAAATGCTGCATATAGATGTATGCCTGGATGACACAGGGAAAGAATTTTCAGCCATCCTAATTTTCGTATTGAAATATAATAGTAGATAAATAAAATGCATACATTCCCGTTACATAAGCTTGACATATATAAATTGCATATCACATCATTAAACACCATACTAAAGTCAATATTTAAAAAGATATGATTTAAACACTAATGTTATAACTTATAAGAGATGAAAATAAATAAATAGATAAATAAATAAAGCTCACGCACGTTTTCCCTCGAGTATTGGACTATTAGACTGGGAACTCTGGTTGCTTTTCAAGCAGAAAGACAGTTCTCGAAGCTTGGATTTGATTTTCTTTCTAACCTTTGCATTTCCATCACGTTCAAAAGGAATTGCCTTGCTCTGAGATTCCCAATAATAAGACTTCAACCAATCAAGTGCCTGAAATTGACAACAACAAAACAACTCACCATCAGTTATAGGCGCAAGGTCACTATTTTCCCTTTAATTTTCAAAAAACAAGCAATTGCATAGAACATGTTGCTGGCAATCTGGTAAATATCTAAAAGCTTTAGAATCTTATATTACATTAACAAGTCCTCCTTATTCTGACATCAACTATCGGCCTTGAAAAGGAAAACCCACTCCAATTGCTTCATATCAAATGAGTACATCAAATCTTCAAACATTATCAATTACACCACCCCATGGACCACACATACTTGACACTGATATGATAATAAGACACACTGAAATAAGCTATACCTTAACTGAGGCACTGCGAAGAAGTTGAAGTGCTGGAAGTCCACGATGTGATCCCTCTAAAGTTGAAGGAATACGTAAGGGGAAAGGCATTTTTCAATATATATGTAAACAAATAATAGTGGGAGACAACTTTGTTTACCATGACGAATATCAATCAGCAACCGTGGAATACCAATTGCCTCAGCAGCAACAGCTATTGACTTCTCTTCTTTCTTACGTGTCTTTTCAATAACACCATTGACAAGCCTTCAACAAACAAGGTTGTGCATTAAAGGGTCACATATAACACAAGTGCTTGCTGATACTTTTCCTGAAAGTAAACAGCTGCTCATACTAAAGATGAAAAGATAGCAAAAAGGCCCAGATCTGAGATTCTAAATCTCATGACATGGCAAAGTTTCTTGAAAGGCCCTCAAAATATCTTCTAATAGTCTCCAGTGACCACACAATCATGTCCCATGATCTTGAGCGACATTAACTCATTAATTAATTTTTCAAAACAGTGCAAGTACAAATAGATTACTAAAAAACCTTTTTTTTCTTTTTTTTGCCAGATACTAAAAATCTTGTAAATCACTTGATCTTGTACATTGTACTGGTGCTATGGATGTATTTCGAAGGGTTATAAGAAAAACTTCATATTTGAAAAAATTGAAAGAAAACCTTACCTAATGATTGCCATGCAATACAAATGAGCAAGCATTTTCTCTGAAAGAGAAGTATCTCTACACCGATCCTCTTCCACTCTACAAAAACCAAGGTTCATCAAAGATGTATCATTTTTGACGTTCCTGTATAAAAGAAAACTTTGCATCAACGACATTAAGGGGATGTTCCTTGTTCAAGCCTATGGTAGTTGTTTCTTATATTTAGCCTAAAAAGATTCTCTCAATTTTTTTTTTTTGGTGCAGGGAGTAAAAAACTATAAAAGATCATAAAGTTATGAAAATCAGAATAGAAAATCTACCTACAATAGGGATCAATTTGTCGAATTTCAATGATGGAAGCAGTGGCCTCAATAGCAGCTGGCAAACATCCTCGACTCTCCCATGCCGATATCTGAAAGCAAATAAGTCTTTCATCAGCATATATCCTTCTGTATCATATTGAAAAGGCTTGCAAATAATCAGCATCAAATCTTACTCTTTTTAGAGCAAAAGCAATGGAATCTGGGGAGTCTGAGAAAAGAGAATCTTTAACCAAAACCCATTCATCCCAGTTCAACCAAGGCACCAATTTGAGTGCATATGACGAACTTTGTTGCTCGCATATTTCGTTCAAGTCTAAAAATGACTCCATCAAAGGCTTGATCAACAATCCTCAAGGAGCAAGCTTCAAACCACCGGGAGGAGAGTATGAATTTAAAATACAAAATTGAAGCAGAAAACTTGAATATCAGGTACCGCGGAGGGAGGGAGTGAGGTAAATGTATAACGCGAGCGCCGGTGCAAATGACCACCGTCACTGAGCGACGAGATTGAGAGGAGGTGGGAGCAGCGGCGTGAGGTTGAGCGTTGAGTGTGAGGTTGTCGACAGTGGGGCGGGGCGGCGGCGGCGGCGGCAGAGCGTCGTAAGTCGTAACTAGTAAGATTGTGGGTGAGCTTTATAATAAAAACCCAAATTAAATCATATAATATTATTATAATAAATTAAACATGAGTACAAAATAAAAATTATTTCCTCTATTTAAAAATATAAAACATTTTTAATAAAATCTCATCTCACAATAAAATAATTATTTATTTTTAAATTAATTTTATTTTTTATATTTATCTCTATTAAATATCATATAATAAATATAAAGGCATTTAAAAAAATAATGATTACACCTTGAAAGATTAAAAATATCTTATATTTATAAACGGAAAAAGTATATGATAAACTTATAACCGAAACTTGATCTATCATAAGAGTTTATCTTCTATTTTATATTAATAAATTAATAAATTATATTAAAAATATGATCACATTATCGATATATGATACATATGTATAATAAATTAAATAATCAATATATAATTATTTTGTTATTTTAAACATATAAATAAATGTCTAAATGTAGTTTTTCTAGAGCAAATAATGTTGATCAGTTAAGTGATATTCCCTCCGTTTAATAATATAAAGTATTTTTAATCGAATTTCATCCCTTAATAAAGTAATTATCTACTTTCTAACTAACCCTATTTTTTTATATTTACCCATATGAAACACCCTACAATAAATATAAAATCATTAATTAATAGGGACATTTTTGAAAAGAAATAATGATTACATCTCTAAAGATTAAAAATAACTTATATTTTTTAACATTCAACTCCTTAAAAAATACTTTATATTTTTTAATTGAAGGAGTACTTCCTAGTCTTATGTGTAAGTTGTCTTTTAAAAAATTTTTGCGGTCCTAAATATAATTAAGCTACTTTGCATGAGTTTATATGCCATTAATTATTTTATTTTAAATATGCCTTTTATTTTAATTTTCAATGAGAAAATAAATAATTTTAAAAAAATTATGGTAAAAATTTTAATAACGTAACTATTTTTTCTTTATTTATATAAATTTGTTGTGAATAATTTATTAAAATAAATTTAATATTTTATTATTTGTTTAATAGAATATATATATGCATGCACGCTGGTAGACCAGCCTTACAAAAATAGGTCTAGCCCATCTAAGCCGGCCTTTTCAGTTTTACATGCTTGCAATGAATCGTTTGGATCAAGGCTATTTGCTATGTTCATTCAAGAAATTCCCAATTAGTTCTCCACCTAAATGGTTTATCTGGATTTGCAAACTTAGAAATTGAGGACAAGCATCTGTTTCTGTTATAATGCGCGAAGAATTTCAAATCTTTCACAAAAATGAAATGGGATAAAGAATGCACTTTCAAATCCGAATCTCTTTTGGCATGCTTGTCTTCGAACTGCCTTGCATTGGATTTATCGATGTTTGGTGCCTTCCTTGCAACAACACGCGAGTCTCTGTAGTTTTCTATCACAAGCTTCCTCTTCCGTCCTTGCTGAAGGATGCTCTGATGAATGGACATTTTGTAGGAGACTTCCACAAGCTTCTCCTTTTCTTTTGTCCCATTTCATTCATTGTTGGGGATTGCATTGATGACTTTTTTTTCTGGGTACTTTTCCATGTGGTTCCGGGGAAAGCGGTTATTGACCGTTTTCTTTTTGTTATGTTTTTTATAATGTAAATTTGTTTTTAATTAAAAGGGAGAATTACAACCAACGCTCTCTCAAAAAAATTAATTACGTACAAAAATCAGTAACATGTTCCATTTGAAAAAAAATAAATCATGTTTCACATTTTAACAATAATTCATTTTACATTGGTCTTTGTTCATGATTAATTCTCTTAGGAGGGGGCTGGTTGTAATTCTTTCTAATTAAAAAAAAAATTCTCAAATTCATTCCAAAAAATGTTATAACTTAATTATCAATAAAGTTGTCTGGTAGCAATGGTCATCGTCTTTTTTGACCAACAATGGTCATCCTCTTCATTCGAGGATATTGTTTTTAGAAGTTATTACATCACATAAGTTTTTGGGACAACTTTGAGGATTAAGTGAATCATTCATTAAAAAAAAAACAAATGATGACATAACAGTATAAAATTTAGGAGGAAAAAACAGAACTTAGGACGGGAGAGAGAGAGAACCTAAAAGCTCAAGAGCAGTGTGAGTTTGGACTTTTTGCAAGCACGTCTTATGTGGGCTATCTACGCAGAAGAATGCTAGTCATCATTTAAACACCATTTAAAATCTATTTAGCCAATTAATCACCATTAAGCAGAACAATTTCTGAACGTTGGAGCATTAATTTGTATTAAAAAAATTCTTTTGAGGCATTTAAACCTCCAACATTTCAAAACCCCTTTGGTAAGCTATTTTAAATAAATATTTTGAGCGAAAACTACCCAAGGGACAAATCATTGAATTTCAACTGAGTTGGCCAATTTTAAACTACTATTATGTGCGCAAGACCGCTCCTTTTCTCAGTCCATTTACTTTGTCCAATTTCGAAATATGTACTCTGTATAATTTCAAAATATGTACTATATATAATATATGTATGTATTATTATTTTTTTATACATGGAAAGAGTTTGAACCCTTGATCTTTCTCTACATCACATCTTCCCCTACCCTTGCCACTTGAGATACACACAAATAATTTAGTTGATTTACTAGTTTTGTGTATTAATTCCTTTGAGATGTAAAGATTAAAAAAGTAGGACTTGCCTCTTTGATAAGATTTTTTTTAATACATATAGGCGACAATCAAACCCTCTAACAATATGCTTTAAAAGATCCAGCTACTTCTAACTATGCTAAATTTTGTTAGTACGCATTTGGTTTTTCATTTGTCAAAATTCTTTTGACACAAAAACTAGTTTAGTGTAAGTTAATTATTATAATAAAATTTATATTTAAATTCATTTTTTCAAAAAGTCAATTTGATTTGTTTGGATTATATGTGGTTTTGTAACTTTAATGAAACTAAGAAAGACAATTTCATCACCAAAACAATTCCATTGTATAGCATCCTCTTATACAAATCATGGAAAGATTCACCTCTGAATGAAGCTAAAACTTTACATGGCATGTACACATGGGTCCCAAATGAGCTCAGAATCATGACACCATCATTATTTTTTAACTCTGAATTATTGGGATTGGTTCTTAGCGTATTATCGGAGCCTAATACAGCAGAAGAACCATGATTTCTTGTTTCTCTTTTTCCCCTGCATAATCATAAAAAATTATATCAATATTATACTATGCTAAACAATGTGTATTATATTGGTTACACAATTAGGGTTAGCAACAGGGCTAAGTTTAACCAAAAATCTATACGAAGCCCCCCCAAGACTAAGGCCTAAGTCAACTGCAATCCCAATAATATCTGTATGTAAAACGTATATATATTTATAAACAGCCTAATCACAGGCTTGAATCTATCCTATTTCTTAAATAAGTCAGCCCAAACAAACATAAAACAAATAGGCTATATAACCTTGATAGGTTCACTTGACCTGTTTTGATGATTTTCTTGAACACTAATAATGATTAATTAATGCCTCTACACTTACAGAATTAGACAATCGATGGTAAAGTGAATTTGTGATGTTGTTGATTGAGGGCTAAGCTCAGGATTTTGATCATTCATTAGCTTTCATGGCCTAAGAAATATCCCTAGAAATGGGTTGGAGCTTCTAATGTGACCGTGTTCGAGCTGCAAGATAGCAGTTTGTCTCTCTTATCTTAGAAGCTAATGATTTAAAAAAAAAATTGGAAGGGCAGGATATTGCAAAACAGCCCCAAGCCCTCAGAAACTTCACTCTTTACAAATGCATGAATCCAATCTGATATGGGAAGATGTAATTGATTCAGATTTGTCAAACTTACTCTCCATCTAGTCCCTATTACTATATAGCATTCAAAATGTTGTTGATGAATAAATCACCATTTGATGTCTTTGATGTCACTAATACCCACCAATCTAAAATCTGTTAGACACACAATATTTCACCCACACAAATCTCTAATTTTAATGATGATGTCATACTATTTCATTCGAATTACAATATTCACCTACAAATGGTCCATGAGTTGACAAAGGGGGCATGGATCATCAAAGCAATGGTGAGCAATAACTAACTTATGAAGATCCAAATTATTTGGTATCTACTTCAGGAATGAAGAAGGATCAAGTTTAAGTATAACGACATCTAGATATTAATTATGTGCACACTTGATACACATTCTCTGAACATGCACATCAAGATGATAATAGTGATGCAATCAATGAAAACAACAACAATTAAGAAAAACCAATGAATAAAATAGAAGATAAAGAGAAATAATGGAGTCTCACCATGGGATTGGGAGTAGCAGAAGCAGAGGGCCGTTCTTCTGGTGTACCATGATGATGACGATCATGCTTGTTATGATGATGATGATGATGATGATGATTTTTGGGAATGTCGTCATGATGATGATGATGATCTTGAAGTTGGCTTTGACGTTTGATATCAGACAAGTCAGTCTTATGATGTTGTCGATCAGCACGAGCCTTTGTGAACACCACTGTGTACCCTGAACTCACTTCGGCCCCACCATTCTGATCCCACCCCCCAAATTGTGGCACTGACATTCGAGGCCCTTTCTGCTGCATACATCCCCAAAAATTAATATCATATGTTTGTTATTTACCATGCGTCATTGTGTATATGGAAGATGCATGTATATTTTGAGGATAAAAAAATAGAAAAGAGGAATAGAAGAAAACAAGAAGAAGAAGAAAAACCTTTCCATATCCATTTTTATTCTTCACATATGTGTATAGTTTGTGTTTCACAATATGTAGACTAATACATATGTCAATCGAGTTGTGGTTTAGTTACATGAAAACTTTCATATAAGTAGGAAATTTTAGGTTCATTCTTATTTATAACATCAAGGCTTTAGTGCCTCTCACACTAAATAAACAAAAATAAGCTAACACACAAGCCAAAAGTTGCTTGGTTTGATTTTGCTTATAACTTTAGG